ATGGACAATTTTCTTATACTCACGAGCTGTATGAATTATTATGTAATTTATATAAGTATTTATATTATAGAAATTAATAAATATTCTTTATACTCACTAACTAAATTAATGAGAACGAGCCGATTTGATGTAATGGTAAAATAAGTATTTATGTTCTTTATTTGTGAATTGTTTTTCTTTTTTTAATTCTAGAAATTAATGAATGTTCTTTATACTTACTGCCTAAATTAGTGTGAATGAAATTATTTGTATATAATGGTAAGGAAGGATTAATGCTCTTGATTCTTGATTCGTGAACTTGTTGATTCTATCCTTTACGGTAATAAATGTTTTTCATACTCACGAACTAAATGAAATGATTTGTATGTAATGGTAAATAAATGTTTATGTTCTTGATTTGTTAATAAATGTTCTTTATACTCACTAACTAAATTAATGTAATTTGTATGTTATGGTAAATAAGTATTTATGTTCTTGATTTGTAAACTTGTTTTGCTGTTTTTAATTCCAGAAGTTAATAAATCTTCTTTTACTTACGTGCTAAATAAAATGATTAGTTCGAATAAATGATAATAAATATTTTTGCCATTTTTTAATTTTAGAAATTAATAAATATTCTTCATACTCACGAGCTAAATGAAATGATTTGTATATAATGACAAACAAGTGTTTATGTTCTTAATTTGCGAGCTTGTTTTGCTGTTTTTAATTCTAAAAATATTAATAAATACTCTTTGTACTCACATACTAAGTTAATGCGAATGAAATTATTTGTGTGTAATGGTAAATAAGTATTTATGATTTTATGGACTTGTTTTTTAATTCTAGAAATCTTCTTTATACTCACATACTTAATTAAATGAATGAAATAATTTATCGTAATAATAAATAAGTATTTATGTTCTTGATTTATGAATGCTTTGTTGTTTTTATTTTATTAATTAATAAATATTCTTTATACTTACGTTCTAAATTAACACAAACAATGATTATTTATAAATTTAAGTAGTTAATATATAGATTAATAAATGTTCTTTATTCTTACTCCCTAATAATTAAAATTGTGTCAATTTTAAAAATAAAAATTTTTTTACAAAATATTATAATAAGCAATTAAAATTAAATTACCTGTCCATCCATTCTCGAGATTTATCATAATTATATTCCACTCCAATTTCGTAAAAGTAACAAATAGCAGTTTTCCAAATTCCCATAGAATTACCTGCCTCCGCAGATTTCAGATAATATATGAATGCTTTATGATTATCTATTTCAACACCAATTCCTAAATAATAACAATAGGCAACCTGATACATTCCATCAGAATTATTCATATCAGCCGATTTTTGATAATAAGTAAATGCCTTATTTTCATCCTTTTCAACCCCAATCCCATATTCGTAACAATAACCAAGCCAATACATTCTATCTGAATCATTCAGTTGATTGAAGTCAATAATTTGAGTAATTTCTTTCGCTAATCGTTCTTCTGTTAAGCCTTCGTTTTCCATTTTGATTTATGAAGAATAATATTATTGCGCACCGATACCATATATTTATTATTATTTACGATGGTTATACAATATAATTACTAGTCCGAAAAATATCCTAAATGTTATTAGTGTAGTTTCAGCACAATATTTGGCATATAAACATAATAACAATTAGGTGACGTTCCTCAAATTTCTCCCACCAGCTCTGATTGGGTGTGTTTAAATTCCGCCTTTGATTGGACAAAGTAGACTACGCCACTCTTCGTCTATATAAGATTGGGTGCAACATCAAAAAACTCAAAAGTAACTTAAAAATTTTGGTCACAAAACCACCTTTTGCGTTCTAACAAAAAAATTCCTTGCAAAATTTTGTATTATATATGTCCAATTAGACCTTTACAATGTTTCAACGATACTTCTGTTATTTGATCGAATCAATATTTTAAAGTTTGATAAGATCTATTTCGTCCAATCAAAAGAACGATTCTCTTAGTCCAATAGGGACTAGGGAGGAATGCCGTTCCTAAATTATACTTGCCGCCCAAACTATTATAGTTTGGGTTTGTCCGCGCCCAAACTAATATCTCAAAACCTTTATTAATAATCTTTATTTAAACAAATAACATATATTCCTATAGCTATATATAATATATTTACAGATTATAAAAATTATTTTGTGATTTAATTTTTTATAAAAGCAATTTGTTTTTGGGAGGTTTAGGATTTGTTCAGGTTTTGCCAGCAAATATATCCTCAATAGTACCATTTCGTCGAATCATCAAGAATTATATCTTCCATTTCGATTTGGCTCATGGATCACGGTACCGCTAAAGTTTTGCACCATTACTTTGTCACTCTTTAATGAAACTCATTGAGATTCAGATTAGAAAGCAATAAAAAAGTATTGTGTTTAGTAAATTCTTATTATTTAATTTATTTTGTTTCATTCAATCAATACTATTTTTTATTTTTATAACAAATTAAATTATTTTATATATTTTTATTATTATTATAATAGTTTTCATTGCATTTTGTTATTTAATTTCCGTCTTATTCTTTTCTTTATTCTATTACTTAATTTCTGTTTCTTTTTATTATTAACCTGTAATTGGATAACATAAGGTTTCCGTTTGTTACAGTATAATAATAAAAACAAAATTCTTTAAATAATTACACAATTCTATTATATCGTGTTGAAAACTTGAAATAGACCGGATTATAAATAATATTTATTACTCAACATGCAGGTTCCCAAATTTAATCGTTTTAATGGAAATTACAAGATGTGACACCTGCAGATTATAGTACGTATAATGTAAAAATCACAGAAAAATCTCCAGATTTTAGTGGATCCAATAATTTAAAGATTTCGAATAAATATAGACGTTATTGATTAAAAATTATGATTGAAGATAGGCAATTTAGAATCTCGCCGCGCGCGGGCGAATTCCTGATTCAGGTGTTTTACAACATTTAACAAATTCGGTATTTTACGCCATTACATAACGATAAATAGATAAACCTGAACATCAAAAACATTAAGTAACTATCGATCCATATAGATATCGTCGTAATTCAAATAAGGAATATTAACAATGGACCCACAAAAAAATTGGTTCCTTTCATAACTCTATCCAAACAAATTCAAGTCAGATATAACGTAAATATCAAAGCGAAACCACTTTTTCACCCCATCAAAAAAAAACAAAGCAACTCAAGTTTCACCTTCTGTGGCCTAATTAAAAATGCTCTTAGTGGAATTTTACCAACTGACATCAAGTTACTCTAATCAAAACAATTTTTGGAGGGAAATGTAGCAATTGTGATACGTACTGTAACAAATATAATCGACAATTGGTTTATTTTAATATTTTTATAGTATTTTTTATTATATCCCTTTATTATTACTATCGTATATGCATATAATAAAATTCTTTTCAATTCCAAGTCTATTTCGGTAACATTATTAAATGTATTATTTTTGTCTTTTCTGTTGAGTATCCAAATTAAGTAGTTGATGACGCTAAATTTTTGAGAAAATTTAGCATGTATATAAGAACACTGAACTCAATAAAGAATGGACAGTTCACATCAATTATTAGTTACAAATAACTAAAGTATATGCTTATATTCCTTTGTGAATTATCCACCGAATTCGACTTTAATAAACCCCTTCGAGACTCAATTCGACGGACTGAATTGACTTGTAACTTCAATTCGGTTTATTAAGACTCGAATGACAGTGTAGTAATAAATCAAGTAATGCTACTAACAATCTGCTAAAGGAATCATTCACGTTACCTGTGAAAACTGTAGTATAGAACGCCCTTGTAATTCGTCACGTGAACTTAAAGTTATCACTACTGCACTAATCATACTTGATCATCATCAGCCTTTACCTCACCATCTTTAACAGATCCTCATCAGCTTTTACCTCATCTTTAACTAAGATCATAATGGTTCAGGGTTAAGTTCGCCACGGTGAAAACTGAATGTTCGCTTCCAAGCTTTCCATTTAAATGTAGAATTTGTGCAACAAAATGTGGGCTTTCATAAATTACACAGTTAGTTTTTATCAGTTGTTGCACCAAAATAATAATTATCCAAATAGAAGTTGTGCAACAGAGAAAATCCGAATAACATGTGATTGATTATTTTTGAATCCAAAATGCTATTACGTCATATATAAAATTGGTCGCACCTTTGATTTTAGCCAATAAAATCACAAGATCATGTGTAACTTAAAAAATTCCGAAAAAACGTTGAAAACAGATTTATGAGTACATTTAAATATCGAATATCGAGTAAATTAAAGCCTGCGCTTATTCTGATCTTTATGCTCTTTCGATTTGGTGATCGACACAAATATCAGACGTGCAAATTTATCCATTTTTAATGTTTGTTTTCTTTTGGCGACATTCATATTTATGTGAAATTATTTTTGCAGATTTGTGATCCCCAACAATTCAAAAATATTGAATAAATATAGACTATTGTTATCGCGAAAATCACAAGGTCAACCTTTTTTGCAAAGTAATATGGGTACCCGCCTAACTCGGAGGATCTTCGATGCACAATTTAAAAATGTAAATATGAGAAAAAAATCGCAAACAAATAATAATGATTTTGCCTAAATCCTTAGCAGGCTTTGTAGTTGCACATTCAGACTGGCACAGTTGTAAATGGTAAGCAAAAAAAAGTCTAGTTCATACTCAATTGGATCAAAATGGGGTTTTCATTTTAAAAAAAAAAGAAATATTTAATGTATATGATGTAAGTGGGAACAAAATTCGAGTGTAGTTGGAATTTCTTTAACATTTAGATTTAGGGTCAAGCTCAGGTGAAATAGATTCCAGATCCGCTTAAATTCCGTTCCCATTTACAACATATATAAGAGTATTTAAAGAACTAAATCCTTGAATACTCAAATTATACAATTTCTATTATAACCTTGATACTCAAATTCTCAATAACCATTTTTATCCGTTAATTTTTTCAAAAAAAAACATGATTAAGAAATTTTTTAAACGAATCATAAAAGATATTGTTGATAAGCCTAGTCCGAATTTTATTACAACGTCTATTGCGCTAGTTGTTTTAATAGTTTTAGTTGGATTTATTATAGTATTTGGTGTCGGACACTTAAAGCTAATTTTTCCAGTTGGAAGTCCACTGATAATGGGCATACCATTAGCAGTGACTTTCATAATATTGTATTCAATTACATTAATACTCAGTGGTGTCTTCAATTGGTGGATGAGTTATTACGTATCAATCGAAAACAGATATAACAATGATCTAACTTATCTTGTAATAGCTGGTAGCAAAGATAATGGATTTAGGCCCGCATATGTCCGTGCTAAAATAGATATTCCAATTCTATTAAAAATTATTGGTGTTATAGCTGCTTTAACCGGAATTCTCAACATATTTATTGGATCCTCATTAGTTCCCATTACAGTGCCATTTTCGCTATCAGTTTATGATGATACATTTATTGCAGATCCTTTAGTTTTATGTGTTACCAAAAATATTAGCGATAACGATGAACCATGCCAAAATTTATTTCAAAATAGGTTTAATTTTCGGTGGTTTCGGGAAGCTTCTGATGTAATGATAAATGGATATTCTAACAATCTGTCTAAAAGTTGGGGTGGTAAAAGGGGTGTGGTAAAGGATGAGAGAATACTTATGTTAGCAGCAGTGAATAACGATTCTAATTCAATCTATCGATTTGTTAAAGCTGCAGATGAAAATTATAGTATTCCAATTTTTAGTATGATTACTCTATGTAATGGTTCTGTATTACTTGATGAAAGTAATTATGAATATCTAAACTATACTAGATCATTAATAAATTTAACAGAAGCAGCAGCAAATGAGACCTTAATAAATGCTATGAAAGGGGAATCAGATAAATCAAAGTTAGACGGCCGATGGATAGCAGAAGTCACCAAACTTGAACTGGAAGATCATCACAAGGAGTCAACAAAACTTACTTTAAATTTTGTGCAAATATTACCTCTTGATTCATTATGCCTCGGAAGCGTTACAGTGGTGAACCCTTATTATAAGTTATGTCGTCCAATAATAGATCGATCATTTGTTTGCTATATGAACACTCGTGTTGAAAAGGTAAATCATGTAAAAGCTGCATGTGATAACGATAATCTCTGTGATTCAGGTGGATATTCGGGAGATTCTGGATTAATTTATTCAAGTCCAAGACCAGTATATAACAAGGAAATACATGATAGTCTTGCAATATATAATGGTCACATGTTGATACCTCAATGTAAAGATAGTTCAAATGATGGTTGTTTAGATCCTCATGTAAACAATTTGACTCAGGTACGAGATCAATTTATTAAATTATTACGTGGAATTATTGCATCTGGAGTCATAGCCAGGCAAAAATTGTTAGCAGATATGGAGTTGGGTGAGAAAATGACTGTTGAAACCGTAATAAGATTAACAACCGGCGTAATTTTAGAGGTTAGAAAAGGATACTGGATTCCTATTCTCGTATTAAGTATATTATGCATTATTTCATTTATATCTTGGCTTCCAATACACCTAAAAAATTTTATTTATGAAATTCATCAAATATGTAGCAAATGGTTACTTAACCATAGATCAGTAGCATGTCAGTAAGTTGATATGGCAAATAAAATAGACGTACCACTTATTAATTCAAAATCTGTGGTCTCATGACTTGCTAAGTTGTTAAGGACGTCCTGAATTATTACTTTTTGTTTGCCAATGGTCAACTTACTGACAGCATCGTTAATACGATTTTCTTTATTATCTTGTATTATTGATATTTATTATTTATATTTTTCAAATAAGAGATAGTTTAAGCAATTTGAAAAGCTATAGGGTGACGTTACAATTTTCATTATTTAAATTCAATAACGTCAATAACTTATATATTTATTTCTAAGATAGCGTTTAGATTAGGGGTAAGAAGATATATTATATATACATATATAGTAAATATAGTAAATTTGCTCAATAAAAGCTTTTTGCTAAAGCACGAAAGAGGTTTCTAATTCTTTTTTATTTGAAAAATAATCTTTTTTTTTTGAACGAACGAATGAATATTTTGATTGTTAAATTAACAAATGTGTGAGATATGTCTCTAAAAATACTTTGATTTATGTTGAATTATTTACACGTATTTGCCAGCTCTTAAAAATAATTTATGGCACCAATACATCGTATTTTTAGCCAAAGACTGCCACATTAATTTACTACTAGTTGGTGCGCGTTATTTCGGGACGCGTATGACGTCATTTTGCACGATAGCTAATCTCGTAATATCTCAAAAACGGGACTAAGAAACAGCAGTCAGATATACTAAGTAAAAATGTTCAGAAACCCAAACCTCGTGTAACCTAAATCTGGGGCCTTTATATCTGACCCCTATCTTGATTCCAAATTGCATCCTAATCTTAAAACATCTTAAAACACAAAGGAAGGAATTTACCACGGTTAAGTGTAGTGTATAATGTGATTATTTATTCCTATGGTACCTTAATGCCCTAACTTAAATTTCTAATTTCACGCACTTTGATTCCATGAATTATAACTCTGCTAAATATCAAGTTTGTAAAACAAAAAAAAATTTAAAAGCTATTGAGAATATAATTTAACATTTCTCACCGGTGGCGATACCACATCTTATTCTTTTATCAAATTCAGGATTAGGGTGCAATTTTAGACCCATTTTTAGGGTTAGATATAAAGGTTCAAATTTTAGTTAGGTTAGGTTTTTGGGGCCCTAAACATTTTTACTTAGTACCCCAACATGTGTTAGCTAGGTTGAAGATATCGCCACTGGCGGTAAATAGCAAAATCCTTGAGAATATTATTAATCATCAATTCTTGTAATCCACTATTTAAATTTGATTTTGTATAAAGAATTAACATGCTTCCTCTAAACATATTCTCATAAAATTCTTTAATATTTCAATCACTGCTTCAGATTCATTCAATTCCAACAAAATATTCTCGTTATAATGCCATGGTTTAAATCTATTATAAGGGCACCTCCGGCAAAGTTTCCAGAAACACATTCTGGAATTATACTAGCCACTGATGTTAACTAACTATCTTCACAATTATTTTATTATATAACGATAAATTTTAATAGAACAAGGTGAAACCTGAGTTGCAAAATAGTGAAATCCACTTTTTAGATTTAGTTAAGATGAAAACCGCGTTTTATTATGATGTTTATTATATAAAAGCGGATTTCACCCTCATGATCATAGAGGATTTCACTCAGGTTTCATCCTGTCGTACACGAACCTAGTATATCCCTAAAAAAATATTACGAAACTAGGTTTAAATTTAAAATGCAGCATAATGTACTGATTAATAATCAATTTTAATCAACACAATCTGTTTTTTCTTTTACTTATTTCTTATCATTCTAAACAATATGAACGAAACACCTAAGTACTACGAAAGTTGAAAAATACGAAAACTTTTAATCACTTTGATAAGTGCTTACGGATGAGAATGAGCCTAAACGATACGAGAAAGAAAATGGCAATATGAATACCAGTAGATAGATGATGAGATAATTCTAGCAATGATGAGATATTGCTATATACACATGAGTGTTATTTAAATAATTTTCAATAACGTATAGTATATTATACAAATCAGTTGACAAATGGTTAATAGTTTATAAAACTTGAAAAAATGAAAGAAAATCTGAATAAAACAATGCATAATTTATCTGGAATGATATTATCGAAGTTGGTATTTTTGTATTCTATTTCTATATTGAGAGTCTTGCCTGCTCTAGTTCATTGCTTTAATGCTCTATTGGATATTTTTAATATTAAGTGTTACTAATTTTTATAATTATATAGATATTTAACATTTTAACATAATCATATATACTGTATATTTGATAATTGCAAATTACTTAGAAACGATATGTTTATATGTAAGAAAAACTCCATTTATCAATTCTAAATATTGCGTAATTTTTTTTACAAGCACAAATAATGTAGAATAGTCAAATACGGTTATTAAGCAGAGTATATTTACAAATACAAGTAACTCTCGATAGGAAAAACTTTTGATATAAGATTTTGTAAATCCTAATTAAGAATTTATAATAAAAAACCTTCGATATTAGATTTTGACTGGACCAGGCAACTTTCTTATATTAAGAGTCACTTGTATTAATGATTTAATCGAAAGAATTGATATTAATGCAGCAGAATAGTTTCTGGTGCGATTTTAATTAGTATGTACATATAACTAAATTAACTAAAATTGACATCCGAAGTCTAATTTAAGTATATATTTTTTCAGCGTAATTTCGCTACTATTTGTCGAAGCGAAAGAATTATAGATAGTGATGGGACTACTTGACTTAGAAATTAAAACATCATACGCTATAGTTTATTTAAAAAAAAAAATAATTGATTCTAAAAAATTATTAAATTATTAAATGCGGCAATTAAGTATCACCATAGACTTCTAATTTTGAAAATAGGATTTTGTTATTCGGAAAAAATTTAAACTCAATTTCGTAACATTTTTTTAGGGGTATACTAGGGAGGTTTCCTGTCGTATATGAATTTTCAGGTGATTTTATTATGAAAATTTTTATTAAATTAAACAAGAATTTTACTAAAACGCACCTATGGTGTTTTACACCTATGCATGCATTATCTCAAAAACTGACTAATTAATCAGTACGAGGTGTTCTAAGTAAAAATGGTCTACGCCCCTGAAAACCCTTCCCAAACCCTAATACTAACTTAAAAACTATACTAACGTGAAAAAATTTAAGTCAAAAATTTCTATAACAAAACTTATAAAAACTTAGAAATTTTAAAAAACATAATAAAAACATATAATAGGTGCAAAACACCATAGGTGCGTTTTATAATAATTGTTAAACAATATCGATATGTATAAACTCCATAAATAGAAGTCTTACAAATCGATTAGCAACTACTTCAAAACTATATCACAGTTACATGAAAATTTATATACAAATCAACGATAAAATATTACAACTGACTCTTGATATAAAAAGTCACCAGGTCCAGCCAAAATCCTTCTTATGTCGAAACTTTCTTATACCAAAAAATTAAAAGTTTTCAAATGGAACTTGTAAAATCTTTCTTATGCCAAGAGTTTCTTATATCGAAGGTTTCTTATATTGTATATATATATAAATAATTATCATAAATTTGTGATATACTTTTGGAGCCGACTGTACGTACGTACCTGGTTTTAGGACATCTTTGTAAATAATAAACTTTACATTGATCAATAACTTATCGAATCGACAGAATAATCACTCGGTTAATTTTCACAAGGTGTCTCAGGAATAATGATAACAGCTGCAATTAAAATTTTGCCTATGAAAGTTCCTTCTGCATACTAACAAAAATTTTTTTCTCATGAAATTTTACACACTAACCTACTGGTGGACCCTAGCCCTAAACAATAAGATCACATAATCGCCGAAATTTTTTACGGGATTTAGTCAACCATTTTTGGGCCAAATTATCGGCTGAGCAGCTTAGGCAAAATTAGTTAATTCCAGCCCTGCCAATCAAGATTCCGAGGTATCCCGACCCGGAATTTTGGTGATATTTCATATGATCATGTGAATTTTTTTGGCATGATATTTTTTGTGTCAACATTGTCATATTAACTATAGAACTATCGGATAACATCTTTATTGAACATACGTACGACAAATAGCGGGAAATTTTTTTTCATCAGAGTTAATTTCATATTAACGTTAATATCCGAATAAATTTCAGATCCGGATATCTGATGGATAAATGGATAATGGATAGCACTAAATCTGATTTATACTTTTAACTGTAACACATTAACTAATCTTTATTAATAAATATAACGCTTAAAACATATGTGCATGCGCACACAGCTCTACCTGTAGCACTATAATGTTCTATGGTGACTAACGCTAAGGGTGATTTCCGTGGGTTTCTGCGAATCACAGGAAATCATCGTCCCAATCAACCCAACATTTGGTATAACGCGAAATCAAATAAAACCATCCTAACCCTAACGCTAATGATTGGCGATAAATTAATTAAACTTGCAACGAGACAAAAAATTACTTTCTGGTGCTCCAAGTAAGTTTTAACAACGACGAATTAATTACTATATTTAAGGGATAAGGAATCCAAATTAATTATTATCCAATAGTAATTTAATCCTGTAATCAATATTAAGATTCTTATATTCTGGTATGATGATTTCATGAAATTTACTCTTTTCTATTTGAAAACCAATGATTAGCCAATTTCATTACTATAATAATACGCAAGTTGATGTATCGCATCAACAAAATCAAGGTTTACAACTTTATAATAATATTCAAGGGCTTTGTATTCATCCTTTTTAACTCCAATTCAATGATGATACCAACATCATTAGTCCATGAGCTATCTTTGTTGCATTTGATAATATTCAAATGCCTTATGATAGTCTTTTTCGACTCCAATTACATGTTAATAACAACTCCCGGTATTACAAATTACCCACATAAGCAGCTCTCTAATAACATTCAAATGTCTTCTTTTCGTCTTTTTCGACACCAATTCCATTTTTATAAAAATGACCAACACTTATTCATTCCAAGAGCATTACCCATATCAGAGGATTTTTTGTAATATTCGAAGGTCTTGTGTTCGTCCTTTTCTACTCCAACTCCATGTTCATAACCAAATCCAACATTAAATGCAACAATAGCAACGCCCATATCGGCGGATTTTTTATAATATTCGAAAGCTTTACGTTCTTCCTTCCCGACTCCGCTTCCATTACACTAAAAAAAAACAATATTAACATGTTCCTTTTATTTGGCCCATGTCAGCAGTATTTTTGAAGCTTTCAAACGCTTTTTTCTCATAATCATCACATTCTTCGGCTAGGTATTTTTTTTTTTACTTGTTCAAACAATTCGTTTGTACCCATTGAATGAATGTGATAGGTAGAAAGGCGTGATATTAAGTATGAGTACTACCTTTTTATTGTAAGGATTACTCCATCGCGAGGAAAATCATTATCAAAAGAACACGCTGAAAACCCATTTATATATTTCGGTCACACACAAAAACCTGCCTTAATCACTCAAAAATTATCGGTATCGTACGTACTGTATTTACGACAATCATGCCACATGTACAAGTTCTTTGTAGGTTTTAAATCGTATGACATTAGCAATTGCAATATTTCAAATTAGGTTAATACATGCAGATCTGAATGCCATAACATTTGTCTTAAGGAATCGAGATGTGAAGACATGGTTTTAAAATGAAAACCGTAACATGTCTAACTTTAATAACCGATTAATTAAAAGCCATATGTCTAACTTTAATAACCGATTAATTAAAATGGTTATCTTCCTAATGTTTTATGTTTAAGTTTAATAAAATTAGTCGACAAACATGTACTGAAGCCAAATTTTATAGATTATAGATATTTTTACATAATAAAATTATTCATCTAAAAAACATTTAAGACTGAGGTATCCTCAATGTGATTAGCTAGTGTTAAGATGTTGCTCAAATTATTGCGACCAATTGAATGGTTAATGCGGCTAATCGAAGAACATGTTAAAAATTCATTGTGCGAAATGCGGAAGTTTTTTTTTTTTGGCCAATCAGAGAAAAAAAATGGCCTGCACCTACAGATTTTATTCATCGAAATGGTAATTCACTTGTCAATTTCAGACTAATTGAAATTTTGCCTCCAATCTATTGATTGAAGTGTTTGAGAACATCCTTAGGCAATTATTACTTGTACACTATATAGTGTACTGTATATACATATAGTGTACAAATAGTTTTTTTCTTAACACTAAGGTCTATATCTTATTTTGAGATTCATAGAATTCAATAAAAATTTCGTATAAGTTATATTATTTTTGATGTAATATTTAGTATGACAAATTTTATGCACACATATTCTTTGTATTTTAAGTTATAATGATTCAATATAAAACGTTATCCGGCAAACTCTTATGATCATAGATTTATTTCTTTGTTATTTTTTTATCTTTATGCTTATTCAAATTAAAACTCAATTAGCCAATAATGACTTGTGAATCATGATCATGAATTTCTGGATAACACAAATATTGAGTCATGGAGCAAATGATTGGCTGAAACGTGCCGCTACGCGGACATATCAACCAATCATTTGCTCCGACAAATCAAATTTCATGATGCATGATCAAAATATTATATACTTATCGCTTCTTGAAGTCCAATTTTAAAATAAATATTTTTTTAAAAAACACCTAAAGTGTAAAAGCTAAAAATTCTCAGTTTTCATAAATCGGCTAACTCACGATTTAAATATCGGAAATGCTAGAAGTTGACATTTGTTAAGCTTTTTAAGATTATCTTTATCGTCACTCAAAAGTTTCTTTTCTGCCAAGCTAAGTCGAAAAAAATTTTGTCTACTTGGCCGATTGTAAAAATTTTACGTCGGTAAGTATTATCCACTAATCAATCATGGAATGTCGGATACATCTAAGGTTGTAAAATTACCGTAATTTTGCCCAAATTTCAGTAAATTACTATATATACCCAAAAATAACCCCTCGGGGCGCATGCAACTTGAAAAGAGCTAATAATTAATTTAGTCAAGATTTTTTAAATATAAAATTATCGTTCCCATTCGGCTAAATTAATTATTAGTTCTCTTCTAATTGCATGATCCTAAATAACGCCCGGCGTTATTTTGGTAAATATGGTAATTCACACATGCAGTTTCTGAGATTAACCTTTTCGGTTATTGAGGAGTATGAATCGGATCATATATTCAAATGACATAATAATATTAGACGAACTTTGTAAAGCCGGTACATTATATAACGTGATGAAAATTACATGACATCTGATTTTACTGAAACTTACCGTTACGTAAAATTACTTGTATTTTAAGTTGTAACTTTTGTAACACAATTCTAATCATGGCTTGTTGGATACACAGCCCGTTATAAATTTAGCCCATTATGAAATTATACTTGTTAGTGATTTCGATCCTACGATTAATCTTGATTACATATATAGAGGGTAATGCGTTGTTTATGTTGCTTATGTACATTTTTTTTACAGACAATGCACTTAGCATAATCCTATAATACCGATACAGCAATAGTGATAGCGAGAAATAAAAATTAAACCTCTCGATCATAATATAAAATATCTGCGCATATATTTATCACCGTGTGATTTTTTATAATGTTTAGCATTTATAGGTTTCATAGGTTTCATAATCTTCATAGTTTTTATAGTCTTCAGCCAATAACGAAGCAAATACTGTTAAGTTTACGATATTTTAATAATGACAATACACCAAAATTTCGTGAAATCAGAAGAAATGAAAAAAGATCATGGTGTAAAGGAATAAAAGGTAATAGAAATTACTATTGAACCATTATAGTTATTGATGAATCGAGAAATGTTAATGATAGAAGACGATAGAGTGATGAAACGAGCTCCGACCAAAATCTCCATTTTTGTAAGGTTTGACAATTTTATACGTATAAAGTGACCCAGATAAAATTATCCAATACATTCATAAAAATTTTTTGGTCTAGCTGTAAAAAAAAAAAAAACAAATATGATGATAAATCAAAAAATATATTTAGTTTTTTTCATACTTACTATAGTATTCCCAATTATTAATTCTCTTCAACAACTTACTACAGTTGATGATAAGATTAAACCTTCACATGTAGCCAAATTTTCTACGGATACTATTTCAAATGTATCTAATCAACCTCCACGAAGAATAATAGCAGTCGGTGATTTACATGGAGATTACGAACAAACCCTTAAAGTATTGAAAATGGCCAAAATTTTGGACGAAAAAGAAAATTGGATTGGAAATAATGGAATTTTAGTTCAAACTGTATATATTATTGTTTTTTTAAAAAAATATTAGGCCATACAAACTTAATAAATAACATAAAATTTTCAAAAGTGACCCGGCTTTTAATTTTATTTTCAAAAAAATTTTATAAAAAAATTCACCCGGATAGTAAGTATACTTGAAATTTTTTTTTAAAAAATTTTGTAAGTTTTGACCCGGCCGGGTTATGAAAACCGATTTGTTAAGTTTATATGGCCTTATTCCATATTATTTATAATAGGAATTTACAGTAATAATTTTTAAAAAATTATATGTATTATCATAAAAATAGGGTGATATTGTAGACAGAGGTCCGGATTGTTTAAAGATATATATATTATTTGATAGATTAAGACAAGAGGCGAAAGAAGTTGGTGGTCAGGTAACTACATATTAAGATTTTTATCAAAATTACATATTTTAACTTGTTTTTTAAATTATAGGTAATAAACTTGATAGGAAATCATGAAATAATGAACCTTCTTCTAGGTTGGAGTTATGTAGTACCTAATGACATACGTTCCTTCGGTGGTGTTCAAAATCGTATCCGTCAATTTTCTTCAGAAGGTTACATCGGTAAATTCTTATTGAATTCATTTCAAATTGCATCAATAGTAGAAAATGATACATTATTTGTTCATGGAGGAATTGATGTTAAATGGGCAAACAAAGGAATAGAAAATATAAATATCCTTGGTAAGGAATTGGTGAATAAGACGACAAAGATGTTGAGTAGAGAAAATCCTATAATCTCTTGGAGTCATATGAATGTTACAAAAGAGGAAGCTAGTATCTTTGAGGATCATAATGGTCCACTTTGGATGAGAAGATACGCTGAACGTGATGATGAATATACTAAAAAGATGGTGGATGAAGTTTTGGAGATTTTAAAAGTTAAAAGAATGGTTATAGCACATACTCCATTATCAGACCGTATAGAATCAAAATTTAACGGCAAAATATACGTGATTGACGTTGGTATTTCTTCCGCTTATGATGGAAATTTGGCTGCATTGGAGATTATTGGTGATCAGATAAGGGAAATATATCCTGATGAAATAGTGAATAGTAACAAAACTAATGATGAGAATATTAAAAATTCCAATAAGATTATAAAGGACGAGTTGTAACTACAGATTGTTTTGTGAAAATTTAATTTTTAATTTTAATTGTAGAGTTTTAAATCATCATGCGTTGACAGAGTATAAAGAAACACTCCATTAATCTGAAACCAGATATTTGCCTTTTCAATTACTTTATTGTAAACGTAGAAACTTCAATTTTTAATTTATACAATTAAAACAACTTAATTGCAAGGTTTCGATTATATAATCGTATAACTATTCTTGATCACTTTTTAAATGTTTTTTTTTTTACTGATCAATTTGAAAGTATAAAATAGTATAGCTAAGAACAACTGTTGATATGATACAATCACAGAAATAACTCTCTAAGTGCACAATAAATGCGCTCATCTCATATACCGTTAATCGTTCTTTTACATGGATTCTGCCAATCTAATCTAGTGGACGTTTGTGCCGCAATAAAAGATATTTCTAAGAGCTATTATAGAATACTACTTATCTCTTTGCAAAGGAAGCACTTATTTTTGCAATTCTGAATAAGATCGGATTCTCTTTCTTATATTCATACATAATAAGATTTAAGACAAAAATACAACAAAATAACTTGCATCTCATTATTCACGATAATATTTTATTTATTGAATATCTTTATTCATCTATAAACCTCTATTCCTCATTTAATAAAGCAATTTACCTACTTCCATGTTACGATATTATTTTAACATTGAAATTCGACTTATCTTAACAGCTATGAAGACGGAATGGTAAGAAAATATTCGAACAGTACCTCGAACAGTACCAATGGGGAGTGACAAGAAAATGATAACATGAAGGAGATTCGTCATATATATTATATAAAACATGTTAGTGGTAAGTACTTAACTAATATATAACCCCCAAAAAACTATTGAGATATAAGAATAAAGCCCTAGAAAATCATTCCAAATATTCATTCATCTGATTCAACTCCCGGATTATAATTTTCTTCTTTAACAATACTTTAGTTCATATTTTATCAATTTTAAAACTATGTTCTTAGTTTTATCAATTGATCTTTATAAATATATAAAACATATACTTTCTATGGTTATAGCTTGAACGATTTTTTATTGTATCGCTAACCATTTACTGTGCTATCTAGTTGAGTAATGATAATTCGATCAATTAAATCATTATATGGCATTTAAAAAAGATGCTTTTTTTGCTTAGATTCTTGTGCCTCTCTTAAATACTTAATAAACAGCAACCTTACTTTTTGTTTGCATCACTGATTTAAAAATAATTCTATGGTAAGCTACGGGGACTCCAAAGATGTCACAAAAATGGTTGAGTTGCATACGTAAATAAGGTTTTAAAATAAAGTTGAGACATGAAGATAATCAAGAATTACTTGCTTCTCATTAATTATTCACTATAATATAAATTAGTATTTTTTATTTATTAAATATCTTTACTCATCTTGCAATGTTCAATTCCCTCTTCAATAAAAATTTCATTAAAAGCTGTATATCCTCTTTTTTCATACCATTCTTTTTTATCAATTTGACTATGTAACATACATTTCTTAAACCCTAATTCGGATTTTGCAAATGACTCTACGGTTCGGAGAAGTAATTCACCTACTCCCATATTGCGATATGGTTTCAAAACTGATAATCTACCTATCTTACCAGTTGTGGAGACAGGAGAAGGATAAGGATGTATTCGAATGGTACCAATGGGAAGAGATGATTTTAGAGCTAGAAAATGATGGCATGAAGGAGATCCGTCATATCTGTTATATCGTTATATAAAAATGTTAGTGATAAGTTCTTAGCTAATATATAAAACAATAAACTATTGAGATATAATAATAACATTCTAAATAAGATCGTTATAAACCAAAGTTTGTTCTTTATGAACCAGTTTAAATACTTACTCATCTAATTCGTTTTCTGGATTACAATGTTGTTCTTTAACAAATATTTCAACCCTTATTTTATGACATTCATTTTTTTCTATTTTCATTTATTTTAAAATTATACTTTTAGTTATTATCAATTTATCTTTGCAAATATATAAAGTATATATACCTTCTGTGGTTGAAACATGAATAATTTTTATACTATCGCTTTCCATTCACTACGTTATTTAGTTGAGTAACGATAATCCCAATGCTGAAATGAAATATCGTTATGTATAACACAAGTAAATGATATGCATCCAATAGGGTTACTTGATGTCATATTGCATAGAGTTTTGGCGCCAAAAGAGGCCAATCGAGAATCAACAGGATTACGTGTTAATCGATTCAGTTGACTCAATTAAATAATTAGTTTTTATAATAAAAAATATACAAGCAGTTTGAGTTGATTAACATCTCTATATATATTAATATGTGGTTGTAGTTGATATTGTGTATCGAAAGTTTATCATATTAGTATTGAGATTATTATAGGTGTTTTTAATAATCTTTATTAGATGTCTGAGCTCTTTAACTGATATATGAAGTAAAGTAGAGTAGAGAATTATTAATAGTTATAGTTATGTTTGTAAGTTTTTTTATTAAAAATAAAATATATTGTGATATTAATTATTGAATATTCAATCTTATATCAAGTGGTTTTAATACTTTTATTAGTATTACTATTAAGTAGAATATTATATAAACTAAGATTATAAAAGAGAAGATCAGAGATTTATATTTTTTTTTGGTATTAAGGTGACCTCTTTGGTCTTTTGATTTTATTAACACTTTTTAGGTAACATAGTTCCATAGGAACTACTATAGAAAAAGTGTACAGCTAGCTATACATATAACTTTTCTATATTACCTATTTAAGAAGTCCTTCCAAGAGTTTCCTACTAGTTGCTATACCTAACACTTCTGCTTGAATGTTCTATTTAAATCCTTTGTACTTATAAATCATATCAACTTTACTAAATTACTTCAGATCTTTATTTTAACCTTAGAACTAATTTAACCTTTCAAAGCCTTTTATATTTTTATTTATAGCTTACTATAGTTGAATCAACACTTGCAGTTAAAGCTAATCATCAAATTATTATATCTTTGTGGAGTTCATACAACTCCAGTACTCACTTTTACAACCTTACTAGTGTCTTATTTATTCTTGCAAGTCTTTCTATACTACTAATTCAATAAGTCTACATGATATAACTTTATATTCAGATCAACTAATAGTCAGGTTGATGGACCTCTTTTATTTAGAGTTTTTGCTTATACAAGTTACCTGTCCTAGATTTTCTTCTTTGAATCAAAATTTTTACAGATAGTATCATTAAAGATCATACTACATCTCTATTTAAATTTCCAAACAGAGTTTCTTATAAAGTATATATTTTCTGAATTTATTTATATAACATTGCATATTTTCAAAGTTAGTCTTAATATAATTAGAATTATAGAGTTACAATCTCAGATATCTTGTTCAAGTTGTTAAAATAAGACTATTTTTTAAAATTCTGATACTAGTAAAATTTGAACTTTGGACCTATTATTTAGAAAATAACAAAATCAAAGAATTTTGTTTATTTGTCTGTTGACATAGTTTTATGATTAAAAATTTTGTAATTGATGCTAGTATAATAATATAAAAATTTGCTATATATATTAATAAATATCTAAATAGATATAAGAATAAAATAATTACTAAATATTAAGATATTACTATTATCAAGTTTATATAAAAAAAAAATTAAATATTAAATAAATCAGTTCAGATATAGTTAATATAATTATAATTAGTATTATTTGATTATATATAGTACTTGTTATTAATATTTACACTAAGATCAAATATATTAAAATAATATAGATAATTAATAAGTCAGAATTTAGATAATGAGTTACAGATATTATCATATATATTAAAGTTTTTAAGTATTATTAAATAAAAATTGTATTAATAAGTTTGTTAAATTATTTATTATTTTTTTTTGATGTTAAGGTAACCTTTTTGGTCTTTTGACTTTTATTAATAATTTTTTAGTATTGTGATTCAATAAACTACTACAAAAGAGTATACAATTAGCTATATATACAAGTTTTTTATTTTACCTATTTAAGAAGTCTGTCTGAAGGTTTTTCACTAATTGTTATATCTAATACCTTTGCTTGGGTGTTTCACTTTAAACTTTCTGAACCTGTAACCTATGTAAACTTACTGGGTTATACCCAGATGCCCAGATTATTGTCTCAACCTTAGAACTAATTTATCCTTAATGTAAACTTTTCAGAGCCTTCTGTATCTATTTTTACAGTTGACCTAGATATCACTATAGCAAAACAAACATTTGTGGTTAGGGCTTAACTATTAAACTGCTATGTCCTTGTAGAGTTCACTTAACCCCTAATATCTACTTTACAGCATAACTCTGATACTTTAGTATACTTCTGAATTTTACTAAACTTCCAATCTGGATAGCTTATATAGGATTATAACCAGTCTATTAGTATATTAAATCAGCTTAATATCCTTTTTCTTTAGTTTATTCTAGCAGCCTAGTTGGTGGTACTTCTGAAACTTCCAACCCAGAGGTTCTTGCCTGTCTGGTTACTAAGATCTGTTATTCCAGGTTAGTTTTTACAGTAGCACTAATAAAGAACTTGCTTCTCTCTACTTAGATCTTTTTAAATAGACTTCTTGTTACCTAATTTTAATAGATCTACATAGCTACAAGGACTTATCTAGTGTTTGCACTACCTAGTTGTTGGTTTGCATTCTTCTGTGTAACTCCAACATTGCACAGATACAATATAACCTGCCAGTCATACTGGTGTGACCACTATTACAGATATTCTAATCCAATTATTAGTAACAGTTGCTATAATATAAATATTATATAAGTAATTATCCAAATTTTTACTGTCGATGGGATTTGAACACCCAACCTACCATTTGAGGGATTAACAACCTGACCACTTCATTAAATTATCATACTTCTAGTTTGTTGAATTTATATAATAATAATATTTTATTTTTATTTTTTTTAATATTGATAATAAGGCCATGTTTCTATCTTTATTGAATATTTAATTAAGATTTTACATAGAGTACAATTCTGCTTTTAAAATAGTATAAAAAGAATAAAAGCTTAGACTAATTTTATCTGTAACCTAAATCAACAAGAATGGCCAAAACTCATCTAGATTTGATTGTTAGTAATTATATTTAAAAAATTAGTTTGATATTTAATTTATTAGATATATCAGGAGTTTATTTTTAAACTAATAGAATTAAATAAAAAAAGAATATAGTAGAAGTAAGGCAGCATTTGAAAGTGTATTGTATTCAGAAAGTTGAGTTGTAGATCTTGAGATGCAATATGAAATCCAGATTTTATAATAGATTTGTTGGTTAAGATAAAGTAAGAACTTGATAACAAGTGTTATGACTACTTTTTTTGATAACAGACTTGCAATAATGTTAATAAGTTCATTTGGTATTAGACCAATTAGAGTTAAGAAAACTGAAGGTAAGTCTGGTATACTGTAAATAGTTATACTACTTAACAGCTTAATTTGGTTATGTAAATTAATTATAGTATTTGAAGTAATGTCAAGTGTTTTAGTATTTAAAGTATGTTGTAATAAAATATTTATAAGACTGTATAGCAGGGCAAGTTGTTCAATGAAGGTAAAAACTAATTTGATGATATTGATGACAAATAGTTAAGTATAAATAATTTTATTTATGTAAAATATGTGAAGTAGGAAGATCATCTAGTAGAATTTTAATTCTAAATGATTTAAGAGTAGAAGGCTGAAAACTATATAAAAAGTTTGAGATTTTTTGATTGTTATTGATGTATAGCCAGGTGGCTTGTTAATTAACTTAGTTAAGAATTTTGTGTCATTTTTGAAAATGATTAGTGTGATAAAATATAAAGGTAAGATATAGCAGGTTGTGATGACTGCATGCAAGTTGGTTTGCAAGGTTGTTGTACTGATCATTCTAGTAAGCAGTGACTTTGTGAAAAATAATATAAATATTGTATAATTTGACAAAGTTAATAAGCATATTTCATAATGAAAAATATAATGTATATGTATAGAATAGAGTATGGATTGAGTTTGAAAGACTGTAATATTCAGATATTACAAACTGTAAATCAGTATATATATGTATAGTACAGTTTCTAGAAGCAGTAATAAGAGCTAATAAGATAGCAGTAAGCTCAGACTTAAATAAGCAAGACTAGTATCTTGTTTGGGCTTGAAATGTATGCAGTATATTGTTGTTTAAAATTTGAGCCTATCTGATATCCATAGAGCATTGTAAGGTAACCAGATTCATAACAAAGCCATCTGTATAAAAATGGAGTTTTGATAATTGTGCATTGTAGTTGGCAATTTGTTGAAGGTTGTTTGTTAAAATGCCAGGTTCAAATATAGTTGGAATTAGGTTTGTTATAATGCTAATATTAGGAAGATTAGAAATTTGAATAGGATGTTGAATTGCAATAAAGTATATAAGATCAAGGTGATTGGCATTGAAGTTAAAGAATTTGTTGTATGTATTAACTCAACCAAAAAATCTGGAAGAGAGGTTAATAGAAATATTGATTGTACATTTATTGGCAATTGTATAAAAGTTAAGAGAGCAATCTGGGCATGTTTGTAATTGAATAAATAAAAGTAAATATAGATAAGTAAATTGTAAGTAATAAGAATAGTTCCTAAAGAAGAGCATTGTTTTCTGACTTTGCTAGTAATAATTTGATTATCAAGTACTATAATAAGCCATGGTTTTTTTTGTAAAAAAAAGTGTTTAGTTGAATAACTATAGTAATTAGTACTAGGTAAGTGTAAATATTGATAAAAAGTACAATTATTTGAATAACTTGTAGTTTGGTCTTTTAGGTAGCTAAACCAGAGTGATAGTTTGTTTTTAGGAATTTGTTTATATGTGAAAATATATATTTCTAGTCTAGAAGACATAAGTTGTCAAATATAGTAAGTTTGTCTAAGTAGAGAATACAGTAGTGTCTAAGTTGTTTTTTAAATATTGAGTATTTGGTATATAATGAAAGTATTGACTCAAGTGAAGTAGACCCTTCTTGAATAGTATATAAAATATTGTATAGTAGATTAAATGTAAATATTATATCAAGGT